TTGTGACATCAAACTGGTAAAATATTCACTGATAGGTAAAATAATTAATGTTTTTAGCTGCGAATTCGCTAAAAAAAAAAAAATTAAATTTAAATGCACCCATAATAAGTATATTTCCTTCTCGATATGATGAATTAATTTTAAAAAATATGCAATTCACACACGCATGTCGATACTTTCCTCTTTAATACAAGCTTAATGCACGGTTCACCTAACTATGAGAGAATAATAAAAGGAAATTTTTTTTTGTTTTAACTCCTTTGCAAAACAAACTTGTACATTTTTGGGTTCGTTTTATCAAATATTTATATACAATATAATATTAGTAATCGTACATAATCATGTCATGCATGAGTAAGAAATTTGAATTAATTGTTGCTGTATCACCAATTATTTAGTTAATATTTCTTTTTTTCATACAATAGTAATTCATCCAAATAAATCTAAACTTTTGTTTTAGAACAATATATGAAGGATGACACAATAGTTCTTTTTGAGATATTGAAGGAACCCGTATGAATAAATTTTAATTCATTAAAAAAATTTTTTTTTGTGATTACAAACTGTCTTTTGCTATAATAGCTACTCTGTATACAGTGTTCACTAAAAAATAAATATTTCATAATCTAAATAAAATAACAAAAATATACATTTAAAATATAAGCTAAAATATACAATTAAGAGTAATTAACAAATACAATGTTCTTTGAATTTATAAATAGATTTTTTCCAGATTTGTCCTTATTTTTTCAGTTCTTTTTTTAGCAATTCAAAATCGAATAATGTAATACTAATATACAAAAAAATGAATTATTCCCATAAATAGTTTCATATAAATCATAGGTTCATAAACTGCATATCAACTTGTAATTGGGAAAAAATAAAAGGAAATCGAAATTTATGTACAGCTGAAACAATGTCGCAATACGTAAATGTTAGGAAAGAATTGTCATATTATATTTGACAGCACAGCATTAAATCTTGATTTTATTTGCAATGAATCATTAGAAAAGATATCCATTAAAAAATTGATTTATGAGTGGATCGTCTGCAACTTGTCGAGGAAGGGATGCGATTCGAAACATTGTGTCTTGGTTGTTAACCTGACTTCGTATGCTACTTATTATTCGTTGTCCCTGTGGGCTTGTTGGTCTATTATTTCTTGAATGAATTGATTCAAAACCACCGTCATTTGTGAGAGTAAAACGATTTGAAGTTCTGTTTGAAGACATTTAATAAAATATTTTTACCGTTATTATTTTTTTTTTTAAAAATCTTCAAATCAAAACGTATTTATAACGAAATTTCGTATGAACACATGAATAAAATAAGTATAAGTAAAGATTTATGTTGACTACTCACCCTTATTTACACGTTCAGTGAAAATGTAGTAGTTGTTATTTTATAGTATCAATTTAAATTTATTTCAAAATGACTATAATACATTGAGAAATAACCAATTAAAACTTTTGTTCTTTTAGAGATTCGTTTTTGTCTTATATATATCACTCTTGAATTTGTTCAGAAATTATAAATGAATGTTTCATTTAAACAGGTAATTCACAAAAATTATCCGGTACCGGTACAAGGATTTCCATAAATAGAAATTATTTGATTGGTCAGCAAATTTGGTGTAAATTACAATTGCAAGAATAGAACATGATTCAAAAACGAATACACTTATCAACTGTAATTTCTAATAACTTTGAATAGATTATTAATAAACTTATTAAGCCAATGTTAGAAACAAAATGACATTAATTTCTACTTTTCGTGCTTCAATAATTTTGACAATATTAAATTTTTTTTCTTGGAATTTTTAGAAGAATCAATAGGTATATATTTATATGTTAATATTCGGCCCTTAATTAATCGAAATATGATGCATTGACAAATTAGTTACACAAAATGTTGTCAAAACGCTTGGGCCAGATTGTCAATATTTATTTATGGTCATAGCATAATTGGTGAATTATGAAAACGTTTATCGTTTCATATCCTGTGATAAATGAAAATTTTATTAAGTTATCAAATTCCTTTTTGTATTTAATTTAAATTTTACTGAATTTATATGATTTAATAATAATATCCTTTATATCAATTTTCTGTTTAAAATTATGATAAAAATATTTGTAAAGGAATAAAAAAAAAGAAATAAATTATGAAACTCCATTCATGCCTATTATTAATTATGATATAACAAACAAGTAAACAAAACAATCATGCGACCCCTAAAAAATTCTGTCGATTTTTACCACTAGGGTTGATCGTTACACGAACTTACGCGTTATTCTTGATTTTTTTATGCTCGTAAGAAATTGAGGCTTCACTGAGTAAATCTTCCCGCGAAGCTCATGAATTGGTAATGATGTTTATAAAATTCTACGATATGATATTAATTACAAGTTGAAGTCGTGAATTTTTTATGAAGTTGAATTTTCATGACAAAATGTAAATTTCTCAAAATAAATGTGGTATCCCATTGAAAAATTCGTATGTCAATAGGTCACTTGTAATTTGCATTGGAAGATTTATGATTCGACTTAACGTCTCCTCATTATCAATGTGTGCGACAAGCTGAATACGTCGTTCGTATATTCTATTAGCGCTCCGTTGTTTTCTTCTTCTTCTTTGATTAGCATTTCTTGAAAGACTTGCTTCAAGTAATCCGCTGTTATTGATTGTTGGGGTAAAAGAATTGAATGTTCTGTTTTGATTTGAAGACATTGTAGTAATTTATTTTTTTTCTTTTGAGGGAATATGTTTCTTTTGATTATATTTTTTTTTTAATAAGGAAATCCTATTTTTTTTTTTATTTCGTAGTTATTTATATTTACGATAAAATCGATAAATTCTTAAAGAATCAACTGGTTATCTAATAATTATATAATCATTTGAATAAAATCTCATCTTAATCAGATAAGATGAAACCAATTAATTATGTCGTTGTTTTTAATAATTTTTAACAATTGAACCTTATATGCATTATCCGAACAAAAACAGTTCTTTGTTCGTTTTAAATATATGCTGCAAACATATAAATTCATGTATGTTGAACAAGTTTTCGATGTGTCAGAAGTCATTTGAAATACAAGCATGCATAAATAATGTGTAACTAAAAATTATTAAAATGCTTCTCTCATAAAGCACAAGAAAATCATCGATGTTTCCGAAAAAATCTCGGTAAAAATTTGCACTCATTAATAAAGCATTATTTTTTATTTTCCGATTCTTGGTAATGAAACAAATAATATAATGCATGAATTCGCATCTACCATTTAGATCGACGGAAATTGGCCCAAGCACAATGATCGTTCTTTCCGAAAATCTTAGCATGCATTGCATTCATTATGAAAATCCTGTTTTTTTATTTCCTTCTTGGGCCCATCCGTAACAAGAAGTATAGAATACTTTACTTTTAAATTTTTCCCGTATTTTTTTTTTTTGTAACTTTGATTGCTGTAAAATTTCAAAGAAATCTTCAATCTTCTGATTATTTTTTTTTTTTTTGGTAGAGGAATAAAGACATAAAGATCTCCATGATCGAATCAAATATTTTACCAGTTTGATGTCACAG